AGATAGTTGAAGCACATTTTGGGGGGCGAGTTGTGTTTTTTCAGAAATCCATTAATTGAGCTAAATCCCCTTATATTTCCCATCCTAGGAGCTCTAAGGGAGGCTGTTACAGGAATTTAGCTGCTTCAGGGCAGGCTACTTGGTTTGGTGTGGATGCTCTTGAGCTGGCACCTAAACCTGAGGCTTCTGCTCTTGCGCTTGCTGCCCTCCACTGACAGGTTCCTCCGTGCTGTGAAAATGCAGCTAATGCCACAGTGAAGTGTGTGCACTGTAATACCAAGCTGTTCTTGCACCAGGGAGGGCACCAGAAGCTCCAACCTGCCTTTTATATCCTTCCAGCAAGGATCCCCCTTCCATCTGCATGGACATGCCCTCTTGTTCAGTCAGAAAATGTGGGTAAAACATCATCTGTGCCTTTAACTGGTGCAGGAATCTCAACCCTCAAAATACAAGATACCGAAACAGTTTTTATAGAGGCCACAGAGGTTCAGGTAGGCCCCCATGCTGGTAACCTCTGAGGTTGGGCTAGAAACACTCATTTTGAATACAAAAACAAGTGCATTAGGAAGAGCAAATGAGGTCTGGGGAGGTTGTTATGAACCACAGCGTCTTCAGAGGCTGCTGGGAATCATTTTCACTTGGACTCTCTGCAAATAAAACATCCCATAGCTCATTCTCGCCTCAACTTTGCAACATTCTCTAGGTTCATGGAAAATCAGAAGCTAAACAGGAATGTGGCTATTCCCGTTTCATGTCCCATTGGAAAACTGCCTCTAAATGCAAGTCCTTTAATCTGAGACCTTGCTGGAAATACAAGCCCAAAGGTGGGGTTAATGCAACTGGTGGCTGCTCTAGTTTGCCAGAAGGTTATTGCAGTGTCTTATTAGAGGCAAGTGAACTTACCTTGTTGTAGGAAGGGCTATTTCCAGATTATATTGATTTTATGCCCAAAGAAATAGAATTCTTCTATCGGATCTCCAGTGGAGAAGGGTTGTATGGAGCAGGAAAGCAATAGCAGTTTGAGCCCTGCTAGTATGCTTGAGGGCAAGTCTGGCTTATGTTTGTGAATGGGAAAGATCTGGGGCTTTTGAGAGAATTTAAAAATGAAGGATGACTTCTGAAGATCCTTGGAATC